TAGCTGTCTGGTCTCTCTACATCTTTGTATGTGAGCTCTTAACTTGCCCCTCAAGCAACGTTATGCGTTGTGTTGCATGCGGCGAGTGCTAAGCCTCATCTCTCTATGGGCTTAGCTGTCTGTTCTCTCTACATCTTTGTATGTGAGCTCTTAACTTGCACTACAGGCAACTCAGTGCGTTGTGTTGCATGCGGCGAGTGCTAAGCCTCATCTCTCTATGGGCTTAGCTGTCTGTTCTCTCTACATCTTTGTATGTGAGCTCTTAACTTGCACTACAGGCAACTCAGTGCGTTGTGTTGCATGCGGCGAGTGCTAAGCCTCATCTCTCTATGGGCTTAGCTGTCTGTTCTCTCTACATCTTTGTTTGTGAGCTCTTAACTTGCACCTCAAGCAACTCAATGCGTTGTGTTGCATGCGGCGAGTGCTAAGCTTCACCTCTCTATGGGCTTAGCTGTCTGTTCTCTCTACATCTCTGTATAATCAGCTTTTAACTTGCACCGCAAGCAACTCAGTGCGTTGTGTTGCATGCGGCGAGTGCTAAGCCTCATCTCTCTATGGGCTTAGCCGTCTCTCTACATCTTTGCGGGATCACCCACTGTCTGTGCTCTGTTCAAATGCTTTCGAGATCTTGGGCTTTTGGGATTTTGGTCATGTGCGGTACACGCAATGAGTTGATGTTATGTAGGATGTTACCGGTATCTTCTTCTTTTTCTGATTGGGACATTAAGTTGATGAACAGCCTAGTATGAATCAGTTGCTATTAGAAATGTTTTTGCCCTATTCTGAAGACAAAAAATATGAGTTCTAAGTTTGATCAGAACATCAACTTTTCAGAGGTTTACTGCACATAAACCTCTTGCTTCCATCACTAACTGCTCGTTTTTGGGATACCATGGTGCCGGTCGTTACGTGGTGACGATATATCAAGTCTGCTTCTGACAATTTTACGTTCACACCTCGTTTTATAGTGACCATAAAATATTGCTCGCACCTTGTACCGGGTCGATAAACTTTCTGACAGTGGCAGTTTTTTTAATCCTAAATATCTACAGGGTGTAAGGGACAGTGAAACGAAAACTTTGCAGGCGTGCTCAGACCATGTAACTGAATAACTCTCCCCATGGAACATATGGTGGTAAACGAAAAAAAACCTACCTCCAATACAAAATTCATGATCAACTTACATGCATTTTAATAAAATCTTCGGCTTATGAAATCCCAAGAAAATATTATATTATAAATGTCCTTTCCTCCTTATCCGCTCCATATACCCCAGCCATGCGTGAGGAATCGTCGCAAAGCGGCCCATATCCTAAAGATGAATCGTTCTGAACGTCACGCGAGTATCTATCATATGTGCTCAATATGAGCCATTTGTCATCGCCCGGATGATGAAATACCGTCGGTCAATAGCGTTACAAATGTAGAGTGCTAATGTAATAACATTGGTTATAACATACGTAACATACTTTATGACGTATGTTACGTATGACCTATTTACAAACGTTTCGTTTAACGCTATTGTCATATACATTTGACAAAGTCAATTTTAATAGGTCTTGTGCAGGTAAAGTAAATTTTGCACTGCGCTATCGCTAAATACGACGACGCATGCCCAACAACGGTGCGATGACGAATGCGTCTGTCTGATGGGATTAAGATGGAAATTCACTTTTTCCTAACGCTGCGATAGCGCAGCGCAAAAAAAACGTAGAAACAGACGTTTGGAAAGCGTGGCCTCTTTACAAATGAAGTCCATACATATTCAGCAACAAATGACAGAATGCACCTTTTGCAAAATGAAACGAATTTTATTCATCTTAGGTACAAAATATATATTCAGTACAATTTCTTCTTCACCAAGATATTACTTAGTTCTTAAAAACATTGTCTAGAATCCAGGGGACATAGCTCGAGACCCTTGCAGTGACAGACGGCTTTCCCGCTTGAGCACAAGCTGGTGTACCAAAAGAGGTGACACCCACGACGACGTCATTATGAATATTCGGTCCACCAGAGTCACCAGTGCATATGCCTTCGTCATTGTCGGAGCCAACGCAAAGCATTTCATCAGTGATTGTTAGACCTTGATACGTCTGCTGGCAAACCTCCCGGCTGAAGACATGGTTTTGAACGTGTTTCAGCTGTTCCGAAAAGCCCTCCTGAAAAAAATGAACTTGGATTAGAAAAGAGTCCTGTTGGGCTAGCATGTGCTAGACTTCAGATGCTAATTCAGATGTATCAAATCGTATGGAATTTGGAAAAACAAGTAAATTCTTATTTGTGAATAAATACAGCTTTTGAGAAAATCGTACCTGAGCTACAAATTTTTGCAAAAAGTCAAAAACAATAAATGTGCAAGTTTTTCAGGTGGCTGCTATGCCGTTGTCGCGGGCAGCCAATGCGGCTATAGTCATAGTATGAAATTGTATGAAGCCGCGTTTGAGGGGTGCGATAGACACTTTCATACTATGACTTGACGCATCTGCCATAAGCGTCAGTCGCATGGCCGCAGCCTCGTGCGGCTGTATACAAACAACTTACACCAGTGAGTCCCCAGCCAATAGACTGGATCGGATCGTTGGTTTCAAGGACGTAGTTGGGGCCAGCAATGAGTGTTTGTCTCACGAGCGCGTTGAACGTGATGAAGGTTTGCAGGTGGATCACAGCGACGTCGTGGACCAGCTGGTAGGGGCTCTGGTAGTAGTCAGGGTGGTTGATGAGGAGAACCATGTTGTGGACTTGTCCACCATTGCTTGCGAATCTGGATCCAACACAAACGATACCCACGGGTAGAATTGAAGTGAAGCTACTGTAATCCGGCATCAAAGAAGTAAGCTACAGAATATATTGACTTACACCAGTCATTCCCCAGCCAATAGACTGGATTGGATTCACTCTGCTGCTTGCGAAGCTGGATCCAACTCAAGCGACAGCCACGGGCAGAATCGAAGTGATGCTATTCTGAGCCGGCATCAAAGAATAGTAAGTAAGTTGTGGATGCTTACTACAGATGTCGCTGGATCGTCGCTGTGAGACGAGCACCAGGAAATAGAAAATTTGGCATTCATCAATCGGTGCGTCGATAGCTCAGTGGCAGAGCGGTGGGGCGTTTACCCATCGGTCCGCGTTCGATCCCCGGTCGATGCATGACATATTTTCTATTTCTTATTTTCATTTGTGAATATAGTAAGCTACTGAATATACAATTGACTCACACCAGTCATTCCCCAGACAATAGACTGAATCGGATCGTTAGTTTCTAGAACGTAGTTGGGGCCAGTAATGAGTGCTTGTCTCACGAGCGCGTTGAACGTGATGAAGGTTTGCAGGTGGATCACAGCGACGTCGTGGACCAGCTGGTAGGGGCTCTGGTAGTAGTCGGGGTGGTTGATGAGCAGTACCACATTATGCACTTGTAAAGCTGGATCCAACTCAAACTACACCCACGGGTAGAATTGAAGTGATGCTATTCTGAGCCGGCATCAAAGAATAGTCAGTAAGTTGTGGATGCTTTCTACAGGTGTCGCTGGATCGTCGCTGTGAGACGAGCACCAAGAAATAGAAAATTTGGCATTCATCAATCGGTACATCGATAGCTTAGTGGCAGAGCGGTGGGGCGTTTACCCATGCGGCCCGGGTTCGATCCCCGGTCGATGAATGACATAATATTTGCTATTTCTTATTTTCATTCGTGAAGATAGTAAGCTACTGTATAAACAATTGACTTACACCAGTCATTCCCCAGCCAATAGACTGGATAGGATCGTCAGTTTCAAGGACGTAGTTGGGCCCAGCAATGAGTGCTTGTCTCACGAGCGCGTTGAACGTGATGAAGGTTTGCAGGTGGATCACAGCGACGTCGTGGACCAGCTGGTAGGGGCTCTGGTAGTAGTCGGGGTGGTTGATGAGGAGAACCACGTTGTGGACCTGTCCTCCGCTGCTTGCGAAGCTGGAACCGACTCGGACGCGCCAACGGCTGGGATCAGTTTTTTCACTGGAAGAATAAGAAAACATACAATATATCACGCCTATATCCCTTACAGTCAGAGCGTAATTGGAGGAACAAAATGACCACTAACACCACTTTTGACAAAAGTTTGAGTAATTCAGAAGACTGTGTATCAACATAGTCTAGTTTCTGCCTATTGCCTAAAATTGCAGTACCTACACATCAACTCTCTCAAATCCCATAGTTGTTTCTTTCGACACCCACGTATCCTAAGCTGGCACCGATTTCGTGTTCGACTACCAATGGGTCCACACTTTGTGAGTTCGTTCCCAGTCTGGTTAGTACCTTGCAGGCTGAGCCACCTGATTGTCTGGAAAGCAAGATGCTTCCATGCTTCGGAGGCACGTTGACCCGTTGGGCCCAGTTGCTGTCTATGAATACTTAGACGGCATTACACAACCATGTCAGACGCCTGCTACTTACAGTAGACGGTAGAAAAGCACCAAGGTTCATCGGGTCTTATACGACTCGGATCTTCTTTTAGAAGTTACCTGTAGCAATGAGCAGCAGAAAGAATAGATTTTTCGTTCAAAATGGCTCCACCGCAATTGAGTCCGAATGTCTGCGGGAAGAATTCGTATATCATGGCGGCGGCATAAGGGTACAGGTCGATGGTGGTGACCTCACCGCCGATGATCTTCTGTCCGCCATAACGTGTTGGTCCAGCTGAAAAATGCGATAAAATAAACTATAAAAAAATTAACTACAAATATTTTAAGGGGTAAACCAGCCCACGAAACTGAACAACTTTTCTCAAGGAACATGGGTAGCAATATGAAAAAACATGGATCTTCCATATAAAATGTACCAGCCTATCAATTTTGTTCAACCTATGTCCCTTGGGCAAAGTTGCACAGTTTCATGGGCTGGTTCACCCCTTAAAATATTTGCAGTTATATTTTTACATTCTGTATAATATACAGAATGTATTGAGCTTGGTATTATGTTTTGAGCTTGGTACGTTTCATCGCATCGGGTTTATTTGACAGCCGATGGCGCAGTGGTTGTGCGACTGCCTGTGACGCAGCAGGTGCCGAGTTCTATTCTCAGTGGGGCACTCACATAGTTGATATTTATCACGTTGTGAATTTGTTACTAGTCTGGTAAGGACATTGCAGGCTGAACCACCTGAGTGTCTTTAAAGCAAGATGGTTCCGTGCTTTGGAGGGAACGATAAGCCGTCGGTCCCGGTTGCTGTCTTTGATTTCTTAGACGGGCCGTTACACAGCCATGACAATTGCCTGCTAGTTTTAGTAGACGGTTGTAAAACTCTGACACCATGGTTGCTTGGGTCGTTGAATGACTCTGTGTCCCACACGAAAAAAAAGAGATTGGGTCTACGCACGGAATAATTTGAGGTAAAGAGAGGGTGGGGTTCGCGCGTAACCGTGATAATGATATTATTTAAATTCCATTCTGTATTTTTAGGTCCTGTTTCATATTTTTTTCATCTTACTTAAATTAATACATACCCAAAACTGAAGCCACAGATATGAATAAAACTAATACCACCCGCATAATTAGCCCTTGCTCAACTAAATATAAAAATAAATATCTACAAACTATATATAGACTTCTAACTCTGGGCTCTACTCCGGTTTTGCCCGTTTTTTAACAATATAGCAAGTACCTGAAAACAAAATTAAAATTTTAAAATATCTCTCAACGGTTTACTGCACCGGCTTCTGGTAAGTTGTTCACATAACACCTATCTTAAAACATGCAGCAATAAAAACCAAATCCATCACTGAGAACCGCATTAAAATCGGACCAGTGGTTTTGGATATACTTGGCAAGATTCTTTTGGATAAACACACACAATACTCTGTCACCCCAAATACAAATACCTACCTTATTACCGTCTCCGTTCCGACGTGCGTAAAAAGAAAATAAGTGACAAATAGACATACATCGCATTTTAGCATTTTATTATATTGATTTGGAAAGATTACAAGACGTATAAATTATCAGTTCCTAGTCGGTTATCTAATAAAGATTAATTATAATTTTTTTTTTTTTTTTTTTTTATTTATGATGGGCTTACTCTTGACCCCAATCTTACCCTAGAGCAGAGATGGGATCTACGGTGGAGCGAGCTTGCCCAGAAGATGCCTATTCACTCTAGACTTAAAGAGATTCAGGTTATATGCACTCGGAAATACAGACGCAGGCAGGGAATTCCATTCTTTAGCCGTGCGCATAATGAAAGATGATTTGAAGCGCTTAGTGCGTAATGTGGGTATATCAACTAAGAACGGATGGTAGCCGGCCGTGCGTCTGGATGTCCGATAGAAGAAAGGAGACGGTGGTATGAGCTCATGCAGCTCACGCGCACACTCTCCGAAGTACAATCTGTAGAAGACCGATAGGCAAGCAACCTTGCGGCGGTGAGCCAGGCTGTGAAGCTTGGTCGCCACCAGTTTTTTATCGCCTATTAATCTCTTGGCTCTGCGTTCCACCGAATCCAGTGCAGCAAGTTGGTATTTAGCCGAGCCATCCCAAAGGTGACAGCAGTACTCCATGCAAGATCGGACTTGAGCTTTATAAAGAGTTAGAAGCTGTTCAGGCGTGAAGTACCGCTTGACTTTATTCAGGACGCCCAACTTTCTAGCTGCAATTTGAGCCTTGGACTCGATGGTGGTGCCGAAGTTGAGGTCAGAGGACAACTCCATGCCAAGGAGTTGAAGAGTGTTGGTCACTGGAACAGATGTACCCCGAAAAGTAGGAGAAAAGGTGAAAGGACTCCTTTTGCGGAGAAAAGACACGCCTGCGTTTTTGAAGCATTGAAGCTGACGAGATTGTCTTCGCCCCACTGGGAGACGTTACTTAACGTCAGGCTCGTACGCTCAATCATAGCCTTTCTCAATCTTTGGATTTCATCACCACTGGCTCCTGCGCCGGACAGATATTTCTCGGTGACAGTACTGTCATCTGCGTACCCAACAATTCCTGAAGATAGAAGGTCATTGATGTGCAGCAGGAAAAGCGTCGCGGAGAGTACAGACCCTGAGGAACTCCGGCGTCAATAGCCTTGAGGTCAGAGGAGCAGCCGTCTATGACCACTCGGATCGACCGTTCACTCAGGAAGTCAGCCACCCAGCTACAGAAGCCAGTGGGTATGCCGTACGCTGGAAGCTTGCTCAACAGACTCGCATGCCACACCCTATCGAAGGCCTTTGAAATGTCCAGCGACACTGCTATTGCTTCGCCGTGGTTTTCAATGGCCTCGCCCCAGCAATGCGTTACGTACACTAGAAGATCTCCCGTGGAACGCCCTCGGCGGAAGCCATATTGACAATCACTGAGAAGATCATTGTCTTCGAGGTACGAAAGCAGTTTGCAGTTCAGAACTCTTTCCATAACCTTACAGAGTACGGAAGTGATGGCGATCGGTCGATAGTTGCTAGGGTCGGCACGGCTACCCTTCTTGGGCACAGGTTGCACATTGGCAAGCTTCCAAGATTTTGGTACAATTTTGACACGAGAGAGGCGGTACAAGCGTGTCAGTACAGGAGACAACTCAGGCGCACAATAACTCAACAATCTTGCTGGTATGCCATCAGGACCACTGGCCTTGTTCACGTCCAGACTGCGAAGGGCTCTACGGACCTCTTATTGTGCACTGTGATCTCAGACATCAAAGAATCACAGTGAGGTAAGGTGGGTGGATATTTCGAGCCAGCGTCTATACGAGAGTTGCTCGCAAACAGATCGGCAAATAAATTTGCTTTCTCTGCCGCGGTGTGGGCAAGCGACCCATCAGGTTTCTGCATTGGAGGTAGTGAGGGACGGCAGAAGTTGGATTCGACTGATTTCGAAAGGGACCAAAACTGCTTACTACCCGGTGGGTGTGATGCAAGCTTTGCCCCAATACGGCTAATATGGTCGAACCTAGCTTTCGTAGCACCCGTTTGCAATACCTGGCGGCGGCATTATATGCTCTCTTCTTTGCTCGCACTCTTCTCGCTCGCACTTTTCGATCACGAGCTTTACCCAAGTTAGTAAGCGGACTGTTTACGAGCCTCAGCTCGAGCACAGTCCGCATTGAACCAAGGTTGGGCTTTATAACCGAGCAGGATATCGGAGAAAGGAATGAAATATTCCATTCCCTGCCGGATTACAGCTGTGATCGCATCAGCGACGTATGAGGGTCTTCCGAAGAGAAACACATTTGCCGCCACGGGTATGAAGCAAAGAAAGCACGCATCTCGTCCCAGTCTGCTGACTCGTATCGCCATACTCTCCTCGTGCCCCTAGGGTGTAATCCGGAGGAGAGCAGATGGACACGGATTTCACCACACAGTGGTCGGATGATCCCAGCGGAGCCGAGACCGAAACCGAATGTCTGTGCGGATCAGTTGTCAGCAGAAGGTCCAGGCAATTGGGTGTGTGGTCTGTGATATCTGGTATTCGCGTCGCTTGTTCCACCAGCTGGGTGAGATCTAGCGCCAATGCTAGTTTACGCGCCTCTCGCCCAGCATGGTCAGTTTTCTGGTATGGGAACAGCCACTCTTATGGTGAGCATTGAAGTCCCCAGAAAAACAAGCTCTGCTGTTGGATATCGCTGAATTGCTGTATCTGCCGTCTCAGAGAGGTACTCCATGAGTCTAGTCGTCTCCTGATCTCCGCTGTGCGAACGATAAACACTGGCGTAGAGTTTTCTACTCCAGTGTCAACCAAAAGCCACAGCACGGGAAACCCTGAATTCTCAAAGCCACGGAGACGCTTACAGCAAACGTCATCGCGAACATACACACAGACCCCTGCACGCTTCTTAAACTTGTGCTCAAGAGTGTAACCAGGGTAGTTGAGGTATGCCACGTCCAACGGTGTTGCTATCTGCGTCTCCGTTAAGAAGAATAAGTGCGGCTTCTCGGTCTCCAGGTGGTGATGGACCGGGTCTAGGTTTGTGTGTAAACCTCGGATGTTCGTGAGGTGCACTTTGAGTGGGAGGAAGTGTTGCCGTTGGTCAAACTTTTTCTTCTTTTTTAGCTTTTTCATGTTTTTAAAAGAGTTTTTGTGGGGAAAGAAAAGATAGTCGAGGCGCTGCTTAGAAACCCTACTCGTACCTTTCGGTTCAACTGATCAGAGAGGGAACTCGCTTGGAGACTGCGGGGACGCCCGAGCGCCCCCGATAACACTCCACCGGGTCCTCCCATCCAGCCGCCAACTGGCACGGTGGAGTATACCGGGATTTTTCACAGTTGGCGGGGCAGCCTTTGCGCGTGGCTAGCGCGCAAGTCGGGCCCCCTACTGACTGCGGTCGGCCAACGGCTAAGACCGTGCCTCGGATCCCGCTACCCTCCAAAACGAGTTACCGGATACAGCATCACCTAAAGACAAAGACCGGTTCCGGCAGCGCAACTGACTACATTGCTACCCCCCAATGGCACTGGCAGTCCCGCACACCGACGGAACACAGCAAGGCTGTTTGGCGCCGGACTCCGGCGGGATGGTGGTCGCGAGCCAGGCGGCCCCTTTCATGGCCTACCACCGCTTTTGGGATCTTCAGCCGCCAACACGTATTGTGAGGACGTTGCCCGGGGTGGACCGCTAGGAGGTAGACCCCACCCACCCCTAATTCTGGGGTTTTTGTTTTGCCCACTTCATTTGTTTATCGTGTATCTGCATTATTATCAATACACTAGCGGCCCGCCCAGCGGTTTCACCCGCTGCTACTTACCTGTTTCCCCGTAGAAATTGGATCTTTGCCATTACCGTATCTCTTATAGTTTAGATGGGATGCTGAGGGTCTACATCGGGTACTCCAGACCCTCGTGACCATGACCAGCAGAAGTGGCCCGTCATGCTGTATAACTTAGGTATACTTTGAAACCATTACCCTATCACTTATCAGATGATGGTGGTCTGCATCAGGTACTCCAGATCCTCGATAACTATGTGCCAGCAGAAGCAGCCCGTCATGGTGAACAACTTTTTCTATGAAGCCATGACCGTATCACTTATAGTTTAGATGGGATGCTGGTGGTCTTCATCAGGTACTTCAGATTCTCAATGACCATGTGCCAGCAGAAACGGCCCGTCATTGTGAACAAC